TAGACCACATCCAATAACTCTGTAAAATTTAATTTGTTTTTACTCTTTTCATGAAATGGTCTGGCCAATGAATGAATTATTTGAGCAATAGAGAGCACTTTTGATGGTTAATACCAGCACAATAATCCACGCAGGATTTGGGAAAACATAAGAATAGTTTGTACATCATGAGCTGGAAGCAAGTGATTTACACATTCTTTTCATACCCTCCCAACACCAAAACTGGGTTATTACGCCAGTAAGCCAATAGAAAGTGCATTATATTGCTTTTATGAAATAAACTTTAATTTCCTAGGGATTTACTAGTGCAATAAATGACCAACAGGGTGCTTATAGTTTCTCAGTTATTTTGGTAAGAGTGGTTGAGGTCACACTGCATTTATTTGGCAAATGATGCTTCAATAAAATAATAAATAAAAAAGAAATAATTGCAAGAAGACAACCACTTCTCTCTGTTCCAATAAGGTTGCTTTGTGAAGATTCTCCTTTTTTCTGAAAAAGACCCCTCCCTCTCATTGTAAGACGTCATATAGGGATTACAGTTTTTTTCAGTACCTTAAAAATTATCTCCATGGAATCTGAATGTTGTTAGTTTCTTTGAAGAAGGAAAATCATAACTTTCCCAACTAAACCTTACAGCAGGAAGCAAGGGGGAGGGGATTATTGCAGTGAGGTCCAATTTAGCTTCCAAAACCTTGCATACCGTTGATCTATTCCTTTATTTACGCCATACTATTTCTATTTAAGGTAATTCTGAGGGTAATCCTACGTTAAGCGTTTTTTTCCCTGGTTAAAGTCGACAAGTTATGAATTTGCACACATCTTATTACACATCACCATGTAACTTTTAGGAAAACAATATCTTTTATTATCCTTTATCACTAAGATAAACTCGAAGTGCTTTCAAATCATCTTATAAAGAAAAATCTTGATGAATTAAATGCATAGCCAAAAAATTAGTAACTTATGATCAGTCGACCTTGTGTTATTTCACAAAACTCACCAAAGATATGCGTTCCTCCAGGAAATTGCCACTGGTGCGGTAAATATATAGCTCAAGGTCAACTTCGTAGCTACGTATTAGACTTTTGATCTTTAGACGAAAGCAAGTTGTATTACGCAAAGGTAAACGTCGAATAATGACGAAATAAATTTACTGTATGGGATTTAAAAAGTAAGTCACGATAGTTCCGTGACCAGAATGTCACGGGACTGTTGTCTTAATTGTCACAAGATATCACGTGAGCACCTTGCCTCATCACACTTCACGGTTGACAAGCAGCAGGTATGGAGAATTTTCGATGGTATCAGTTTTTAAGAACAGACGATGCGTCGGCGGGCAAGAGGAACACTTGGAAGGTTTACCATAATCTAAAACGGGTAATACGTTGTAATGAAAATTAATTGAAACCCGACGCTCTTTAGTAGGAAAGTAATGGTGAAGTGGGCGGAAGACGATCAGT